TAAGGTTGACTTGGTACATTTCCAGACGTTTTGCCAGCATCGTCACTGGAAGGCGCCATCGTTAACACCGGGCTACATATATTAAATTTACAAGGCACAGACACGAAAAATGAGCACACGCACCCTCACTGGTGACCTATATTTGGCTCACCTATACATTTAGCCCTTTAATTTCCTATTCTATATCCCTAGGTAAATTGTTGGCCGATTCCAGGTTTTACTCCTCTCACTACTATCGTCTTTTCTTGATTTCCTTGTATCTCTCATGAGCTGTTCCATGGTCGTTTCTCTTCTTGTTGTTTAACAATTGTCTTGGGTTCAAGCATATTCTTTTTGATGCCTTCTCCGAATCTCCAAGTCTGCCCGGGCAGTAAGCGAAATTATCGCGGACTCTTTCCTCTTCTAATCTCCTGTTCATCGGGTTTCTTTATGAGATGATGTCTTAAGCCTTTTCGATGTTAAGTGTCCTAGTGTTTGCCCCATATGAGGCCAGTCTTTCTGTTGCATTCCACTCAATTGTGTGGTCGGTAGTGGCGATGTGTTCAGATATCTTCCATCTTTCCATAGCCATTTTTCTGCATAGTTGCTGGTGTTCTTCGATCCTTGTGCTGATTGTCATTCACATCTCTCCTATGTATTTTTGTTTACAGTCCTTGCAGTTTATGCTGCTAATGCAGGGACTCCATTTTGTTGACTTCATCATGTTGGCAAGGCAAGCTGGTCAAGAGGGTTGTCTTTTCCTTCAGCATCGCACGAATGCTACATTTCCATAGTATCAGGCGTAGCTTCCGAGCCAATTCGCAGGAAGCTAGACATATCCATCGGTTTTCATCTGTTCCTCTTTCTATACTGTCATGATTTCCGTCCTTCCATCTGTTCATCACCATCCGTATGTTGTGTTGTATTGCTTTTTCTGGATATCCGTTTCCAATAAACATCTAAGTTAGCTTTTTCAGTTTATCTTTCCATAACTCAATATCAGTGAGTCGTAGGCTTCTTATGATAATTCTCCGGAGTATTCTAATCTTCATTCCATAAGTATGGTTAGATTGTAAATTAAGAGTTATTCCAGCATGCGATTTCTTTTCGAAAAGTCGTTCCTCAAGAGCCCTGCTGACTACTTCGATCACTGTAGTTTTTATAGCTAGCATGTTTACATATTCACAAGAGATGACTGCTATTACCAATTACAGTTGATTTATTTAAAATGTATTCCATCTAACCAACTTTTAGGCAAAATAGCGTGAACAAGACAATCATTAACGACTTTTCCTATTCCATCCAACTTAATTGACGATGACTCTGAGTAGCTAGTTGAAAGGCATAAGGAATGCCTATTAATAATTCCAATTTTTTGCTCACTTGTTCGACATAAGTGGGTATTGGCTTCTCCTCCACTAATTCATCCATTTTCCCTCAAATTTATGCTTTTTCCTACAGTCAACCCTCGATGCTACTGGTAGGGAAAACTTGTTTTCTACTCAAATCAACCCTAATGAATTGACTTCTACGAATGTTTCTCAATCTGGCTGCAGTAATTTACTTGAAACAACCTCCTCCATCACGGTTCCACAAAATGAAAAAATTCCTGAACCAGAGCTATCATCCCAATCAAATATGCTCCATTCTGGGGATTTAATGTGCCCACTTAAGCCAGAAATCATTGAAAGCTTGTGCCAAATTGTTACCTCTCCAAGGACAACGGAGACTGCCCGCAATTGGGCATTCCATCTTATCACTGATTTAGCTCGAGCAAGTAAATCTATGCAGCTACTGATGCTTAAGCTTCTACGTTCAGCCACTGCTCAGTTACTTCCCATAATATCCAAACAACTCGATGTAAGCTCTGATATTTCTTGATGGACAATGATTTTTTGCTTCAATATACGTTTACTCTTTCCTGACTACTTTCATATGTATTTTCACAGTTCTTAATTTTGTTCTATTATGTCTTTATTTATTATGTAAAGTACGTAATTTGATCGGGGAGGTTATATAAGTGTTTTTGGTATACAGTAATATCTGAAGATCCCTGTTTATACTGATGATAAATATTGGTGAAAATCTACCGAAAAGATAAGATATCGGCTATTATCCAGCATATTCCAAAGGTCGGAAGCTCAATACCAGGATAGTTCGCCAACTTTTTATTAACTTAATTTATCTGTTGAATTATTTTATTATTTGTTCGCCAGCGAGCAACCATCTCTTTACTGTTGCTGGGAAATTTATTATGCATACGTTTTTCGTACATTGAATAATGCATTAGGCACCGAAAATTCTCACCCGGTGGCATCTAGCGTGCAGGAAATATCGGGCCTCTGTTTTATAAACCTCTTAGAGGTAATATTTTGACAAAAACATATCTTTCATACGAATTTTATTTTCCAATGATCACAAACTGAGATACAATTAACGGTATGACTATGCACAAACCAATGCTTATCCTCAATTAAATCTTCAAAATAGCGAGGAATATGGCTAATCTCAGTTTTCTTTCTTCATGTATAAATAAAATGGACACGACCGTATGAAATGTTTCTTGCTTCTCGCATTATGGCAGACTCCAAATTACTTTACTTGAGTCAATCAGCTCGAGAACAATGCAACCTTTCTGCAGAAATCAGAATAGGCACCAGGTTTACATGATTCGCCTCCTCAAAGTAATCGGTTCTCATTTACCGCATACACTATCTTCTGACTCATACTGATGCCAATTATGACATCACATTCATCAAAAGGTTGATTTTATGTGGAAGCAGGGGGAGGCCTCTCACTTTCCCATGACGTAAAAAGCTCACTGACACAATCGTTATTATAATTGGTTAGATTTTTACCTAAAATTGTATCACGCCATCCACTAACATTATT